CTGCTTTCCACACGTCCACTGGAGGAGGGGGGCGGGGAGGCGGCACAGAGACACAACACTTAGCGTGGCGAAAGACCCAACCATATGCGATTGTGAATACCGCAATTGTGAATACCATCTTCGCCCGCGCTTCCTATGTGGCCACGGCTTCCCGCTGGAGTCCGATACGCTCAGGAACACGTTCGTGACCGTCTTCGCGGGCGCCGACGACGACAAGGACGGCGTCCCTCTGACCGGGCAGCAGAAGCAGGAGAGGGCTTTGAGAGCCAGGAGGGAGGAGGTGGCGTTGCACGTCGACAGAGCGGAATACGACGCCCAGGCGCGGTTGTTGAAGCAGCGCAACTATGGGGCCACGATCCTCGTGAGGGGTGTGCCGTAATGCCCAGGGGCCGCCATGCGAACCCTGCCACTGGCGCCTTCGGTGGAGCTCCTGTGGGGCCACGATCCTCGTGAGGGGTGTGACGAAACTTCCCGAGGCCGCCATGCGAACCCTGCCACTGGCGCCTTCGGTGGAGTTCCTATGGGGCCACGATCTTCGTGAGGGGTGTGCCGAAATGGCCCGAAAGCGCCATGTGAACCCTGCCACTGGAGCCTTCGGTGGAGCTCCCTATGTGGCCACGATCCTCGTGAGGGGTGTGCCGAACTGGCCCGAGGCCGCCATGCGAACCCTGCCACTAGCGCCTCCGGGGGAGCTCCCTGTGGGGCCACGAAACGCTGTACTGGGTGTATGAAACGCAGGGAGGAGGGAGGAGGAAGGAGGAGGAGGAGGAGGAGGAGGAGGAGGAGGAGGAGGAGAGGAACGCGGGGCACCGTCTCTTCAAAACGAGGACACCATACCACAGGATGGTTGGGAACAAAATCTCACCGAAGGCCTCTTCTGGCGAGTCACCCGAAGTTCACTGCCTGGTCTATCGAAGAAGCCAGGGTGAGCACGGTATGGCCTTGAACCCCAGCCTCCCCAGAACGATTAACAAAACTGTCAAACTAAAGAACATGCGAGACACCCTTCCCCAGGTTGCCTCACGAATCTTCTTACGGTTAGGCACTTTTGCATAGCGTGTCGCGACGACAGCCCCGGCGACACGCCATGCCTTGCGAGTCGACAGCATGTCGCTCCGCCCCGCGGGGCGGGAGGCTCGGAAAAACTCGGGATGTGAACACCTGTGGACTGGGGGGTAGATACAGCCAACCAGTATAATAGGGATACGCAGAAAGGATGCAAGGGCATTGGAAAGCCATGCTGGCGTTTCTCGAACGGGATCGGCCAGCGAAAGTTGCCAGGGACGGGCCAAAGGGGCAAGGATGCAAGCGCAACCTGGGAAAACTGCTCATCATTGACATGCGGGTTGACCGTGGCGAGTCGCGCCGCAGCGTTGTGGGTCAGCACCGGCAGAGCGACACGCTGCCCAGCAGTGCCCGACCGCAGCTGCCCCCCCCAACAACCGAGCACGTCCTTGTGGGAGAACAAAAAGCCGACACCAGCACCAAGAAAGTATTTGTTTCACGAAATGTCGAATTGCGTTTTGGACCAGCGCGAGCCCGCCCTGGCCTGAGGAATCGCAGAGTGGGCGAGGAAAACGGGGGAAGGGAGACGTCGCGCAGCACGCAGGAGGGAAAGCAGGAAATAACAAGTGCAAGCGAGAAGCGAAACTAGCCGGCGCTCTCGGGAGAAGAGGGAGAGAAGAGAGAAGGCTGCGGCATCCCCCATGGCTGAAGCTTCACTCCCCCCACCGCCGCCCTCCACCACGCCTACCCCCGTCCGCCCGCCCCCCTCTCATTCCCCCCACCCCTCACCCACCCTATGTCCGCCCGCGTCGCATCCCTGACCCTCGTCTGGCCCGACACCAAGGCCCGACGAGTTCGAATCCGCCGCTCTCTGCGAAAGGGGGCGGTGGCCGCCCGTCGCGGCCTGGGCATAAGACCGTGGCCCCCTCTTGACCCAAGCCCGCAGCCCGTGGCAACCTTCCGAAATCGTCGAGGGGTTCAGCTCGCACATGGGGCCGCCGTTCCAGTGGGGGTCTTGGTGCTGGTGTCGGCTTTTTGATGTTGCAGGGAACAAAAAGCCGGCACCAGCACCAAGACGCCACTGGAAAAGTTCGGAGCGCTTTCCCTGTGGGGGCTGAGCGACCCAACGAAGCCAAGAAAGCTTGAGATGGCTCGCATTGCTCTCCGACTTTGCAAGCCACGGTGCTTCCATGATAGGGAAACGTCCCATGCAGCTCATGGCGCCCCTGGGGCCCACGGGGCTCCCATGGCCCGCGGGGTTCCAAGGCTCAGAAACCAGATGTGGCCCTGACGAGTCAGGGAGCCAATGATGCCCGCGCGGCATGCTGGGCCAGCGCGGCACGTTGGGCTTATGCGCGCTGCGGCGCACGCTCGGCCCATGAAGCCCTTTGTGGAACTTGTGGGGTTCATGGGGCTGGCTGGGTTCGCACGGCCCGCGGGACTCGCGCGGCCCATGGAAATCCGAACGCTCACTTGGGGAACTGGAGACGGCCCGTTATGTTCCAACGCGCTCAGAGCTGGCATTCATCAACTCTGGACACGCGAACCCGAAGACACGGGCGACGGCATTCAACAGAGGCTGCAATGTTTTCTTTTCTAGTGGCTTCTTGGTGTTGGTGTCGGGTTCCTGTGCGCCGACCTTGCGCCTCGCTCCGGCCCGACCATTATTCCCTACCTAGGCTCTGCCTAGAAGGGTTCTTACTCTCTGGGCTTAAAGGGGCCGGGCAGTGAAAAGCGCCCCGGGCGGTTCCCCCAGTATCCGCCCCGCGGCTCCCCCAGCTACGTCACCTTAGCTTAGCGTTGCTTATCTCATCGTGGCTTAGTTTATTTCAGAATAGCTTAGCTTAGGTTCATCTTAGCTCAGGTTTATCTTAGCTTAGCTTACCTTCATAATAGCTTCGCTGAGCTTTAGCATAGCAGAGCACAGCATAGCATGGCATAGCGTAGCATAGCATAGCGCAGCATAGCATATCATAGCATAGCCCAGCATAGCATAGCATACCATAGCCAAGCATAGCATCGCATAGCATATCATAGCGCAGCTTATCATAGCATAGCATAACATCGCATAGCATATCATAGCATAGAGCAGCTTAGCATAGCATAGCATATCATATCATAGCATAGCACAGCGCAACATGTCATAGCATAGCTTAGCATGGCATCGCATAGCAAATCATGGCATAGCATAGCGCAGCATAGCATACCATAGCATAGCATAACATAACATAGCGCAGCACAGCATGGCATAGCATAGCATAGCAAAACATGCTGCTTTCCTAGGGGCTCCAACTTCTAGGTAGGGTCGCACTGGGGTAATGTGACCGTCTGCTTTTTCTTTCCCGGGTAACGGGTGATGAGCCTGTCCTCCAACACCACCACCACCATAAGTTGGAGAGGGGAAGGAGGCGGAGGATGAGGAGGATGAGGATGAGGATGAGGATGAGGATGAGGATGAGGATGAGGAGGAGGAGGAGGAGGAGGAGGAGGAGGAGGAGGAGGAGGAGGAGGACCCCATCCCCCTCCAACTTGTGGTGGTTGTGGTGGAAAACAGGACCACCACGGGCGCGCACCAAGGCGATAACCCCCAGCCCACCACAACCACACGCGGGGCGGGGGGTCGGGAGGGCAACGGTAACGGCCGCGGCAGCGGCGTGCACCCACCCAGGGTGCGCCCGCGCCCCCTGGCGCACCCATCGCCCGTGCGCACAGCAGCACCTGGGGGGCAGATCCAGGACCCCCCCCCCCCCCCGGGTAGGATCGTGCGCGTTTCCCTGAGGAGGGGTGGGGGGGGGGGGGGGGCTTGGCCCGGGGCCCAGGCTTCCCCCCCGGGTAGGATCGTGAGCGCTTCCCTGAGGAGGGGTGGGGGGTGGGCCTGTGCGGCCCGGGTGGCGAGCGCTGCCCTGGGGAGAGGGGAGACCCCAAAAAGGCTCGCTGTCCGGCCCGCGCGCTCGGCGCGCCGTGCCGCCTCCTGGAGCTCGTAGGCGAGCTCCTGGCACCGCGCCGTGTCCTCGGGGTTGTCCTCGCGTCGCGGCCAGGGCAAGGGGGGGGGGGGAGGATGGCTCGCGGGCGCCGCGGAGGACAGAGGGGGGCTCCTCCTTCTCCTCCTGCTCCTCCCTCCCTCCTCCTCCTCCTCCTCCTCCTCCTCCTCCTCCTCCTCCTGCTCGTCCTCCTCCTCCTCGTCCTCTCTCCTCCTCCCTCCTCGTCCTCCTCCCTCCTCCTCCTCCTCCTCCTCCTCCTCCTCCTCCTCCTCCTCCTCCTCCTCCTCCTCCTCCTCCTCCTCCTCCTCCTCCTCCTCCTCGACCGATCGGCACTCCAGATCGCGACCGGTCGCCATCGTCAAGTCGAGATCGATCGGGGCTCCCAAAAGCAGTCGCGCGCGACCAGTCGCCACCGATCGCAACCGATTGGTCGCTACCGATCGGTCGCGGCCGACTTTGAAGCAAGACGGTAGCGACCGACACCAAAGTTTGAAGCAAGATCGGTAGCGACCGATCACGTCGGTCGAGACTGGAAAATTCCAGCATCAAATGATAAGAGCCATCAGCGATCTGAAACTCGCACCATGCAATTTCAAATGGCTAGCTTATCCGTCCGAGCTCTCCCATGCGGAATGTGGAATGTTAGCTGCATGGTTTGCACAACTTGCGGTGCGGCGCTCTTCACAAAAAAATGGTTGATCAAGCCGGGCCGCATGTAATTAGCCCAAGCGCCAAACATGGAGAGCATCATGGCCCACATCATCAACTCAAGGTGGTCAAGCTACAAATTTCCGCATGCTGCAAAGAAGGACATGTTTTTAGTATTTTGGGTAACGGCTGTTACGGGGGAGGGGGGGCGGGTTTGGCCGGCGGGTAACGGTAACGGTGGCCGCGGCCGCGGCCGCGTAACGCCATGCCGTGAGCGCAGCGCCATACCTGCTGAGAGGAGGGGGGTCCGCCCTTCACCCCCCAAAAACGTACGATCGTTAGCGTTACCCAGTGGGGTGGGTTGGGCCCGGGTAGCAAGCGTTACCCGCGCCAGAGGAACAAAAAACTCTCTCTAATCCAGCAAACCCATCAAACATATGGCTTGACACCATATGACAGACGGACTTTATTGGGGGCCGTCTCGGGACCTTCTTTGGGCGCTGCGTGCCCCTTCACCCGAAGCCCTCTGAAATATATCCTTCATCGACGGGTGCGGCAGCCCGCGACTTTGGCGGTCTGCGGGTCTGTTGATGGTACAGTCAACCAGTATAGTAAGGATGCTCGATAAATTGATAAGGATGCAAGGGCCTTGGACGCCCATCTCGAGGCTTTTCGAGCGGGGCGAGGAGAGCGACAGTGGCCAAGGATGGACCGAGGAGGCAAGGATGCAAGGGTACCCTTGGGAAGGTTGCCCATCCTTGCTATTCGGGTTGACTGTATGTGTGTTGCCTCTTCGCGAAGTAAGCCTGCAAGGGTAAAGACCCCTGAGATCAAACGTCTTGGAAAAAATGCGACACCACCCCAAATTAGAACCGGAGCCATATTCCCCGTCTCTCGGCACTTCTCGAGTCGGAATCGATGGCGCAAGGAGGGCGTTGGGGCCCGAATCTGCCTGAAAATGCTGGATGCGACAACAATCGGCGGCGCGCCCAGGGAAGTGAGAAGGGGTAAGTCTTCTCGGAAGGCGGCGAGGCTTCTCAGAAGCCCTCTGGCCTTCTAAGAAGTTGTCTGCGTCTCCGGGGAAGGCTTAGAAAACTTCTGAGAAGGTCCGCCGCGCACCGCTTCTCACTTTTCCCACTGGGCTCGCCGCCGAAGAAAAAAGCGAGCCCTGGATCTCCAGGACGGCGACCTCGATCCGAAGGGGGCGGCGGCGGCGACAACGAGGCGCGCGCAGCAACCGAACCGTCCTGTCTGGAGGAGGCTGGGAGGACCGATCCCAAAACGACCCCCTGCGACTATATTAATCAAAGTGACGGTGCCAAACGGTCATTGACTGTACCTGGGCGCGTGGCTGAAGTGGGATTCCGCGGTGCGCATTCCTTTTGCGTTGAGTTCGCACTTCTTGAAAAATTCTTGTTGATCCCCCCATGGCCCATTGCGATGTTTCTATTGCTGCGAGGTGCCCCTCCTGTGGCTACAAGGGAAAGGATTGAGTCTCAAATGGGGCCCTTGGCATCCGAACTTGTGCAACAACGCCATCCGCCTGAAACAATCGCACTCTCCCGCAGGATTTCCGCACACGTTATGCAAGAATCAGGCGCTCCCAACACCAAGGACCCACGCTCTTGCTTTTGATCTTTTGAGGATTTACTTGGGAATCGCGCTATCGCTCGAGATGTCGTCGCAATTCAAACAGGACTGAACATTCAACGACCCGCGCGCTCTCCCTGGCCGTCTGAGCCCGCCCACCCGACCCGCCCGTCAAGGTCCACCAGCCCGACCCGCTCGTCTGGCTATACCGCTTGTTCTCCTGCTCCGAATCCACATCCTGCTAAACTCCCATGCCCATCTTTCCTCGTTCCTTCCCCTGCTGTTGGGGCTGCGACAACTGCACGCGGCAGGTAAACCCCCAAGGGGGATGCGATCGAAGACGAAGATGGCGGGTCTCCAGGGTTTGGGATACACCTGTTGAATGCCACACGACCAAATAAGAGCGAACAATCTCAATTATTGTGGTTGTTGGTGCTGCTATTGTTGTTGCTATTGTTGTTGTGATTGTTGCAATTGTTGATGTTGCTGTTGTTGTTGCTGTTGTTGTCGTCGTCCTCGCCCGCGACCCTCCCGCGACACTCCCCTCGCCCGCCCCCATCACTCGCATCCGCAACTGCTGGGGGTGCTGCGTCGAGGATCGGGGCGCGACGCTCGAAGGTCGAGGCTGTGTTATCCATGCTCGGCTCCGAAGTTCCCGGGCCCCGTCCCTGGGGACAGCGCACGCCAAGAAAACGCATACACGGACGCCCGCCGACAGAATTGGCCCGTACCTTCAGGGAGGGTGGCGGTGTATGATGTCGCTGGCTCTCAGTGGTGATTCACACACTGCCACCCTCCCCTGAGGCCCAGGAACAAGCCATCGGAGGGTGTCTGTATATATATATATATATGTGTATGTGTATGTGTATGTGTGTGTGTGTGGCGGACAGCGTCTCGTCCTGGATCTATGCGTGATGGTCCTGAGGCCCGATCGCGGGCCCCAGGTGCCGAGAGTGAGGAGCAACGCCAGGGCGGAACCAGACTCGAGCAGGGGATAGGCGCGCTCGGGAGGGCAAAACCTTTGCCAGAGAGGGCTGCGACCTTCCTCTGGAAAAGGCAAGCTCGCATCAGGCGGTGACACAGCCTTCCTCGGGAAAGACGAACCGCAAAAACCTTGCCCGAGAGGGCTACGACCTTCCCCTGGAAAGGGCAAACTCGCACCAGGCGGTGACATATCCTTCCTCGTACACTACGAACCTTCCTCGGGAAGGCAAGCCCTTCCTCCTCGGGAAGGACAACCCACCGAGCGGCGTGATGAAGCGGGCCCCACGCGAGCAGGCCTACAGCGACCTTGCGCCACGGCTTACGCAAGCTGCCAGCGCAGCACGCCGTGCGGAAACGAGGGCGCGCCTGCGCGACCTTACGCGGGCAACCTGCGCGCGATCGGCCGCGCTGTCGACAACGTCTTCTTCCGTCTCTCAAGTTTCTGTGGCAACCCATGGGGGCCTCGCATGTCACCTTGCTGGCCCTTGCGCATCGACGCTGGACGACGCGAATCGGCGCTGAACGAAGCACATCGACGCTACATGGACGCTAATCGACGCCAGATCGGCACTTGCCCATCGATTGTCAGACGCCAACGCCAGCGAACACACTCTAACATATGAGTCTCCCAGGAGTTGCTACCGAAGCGAAGGCTCCTCGGGAGGAGAGCCGCCGCGGAGGCGCCTCGTCCGCGATCATGCACGCCTCCATGGACAGCGCCTTCAGCTCCTCCACGCGCTGCGCTGCGGCCGACGGCGCCTGGTCCAGAGGGGGGTTCGGAGCTCGAAGATCGGGGGTCACGGATCGACCCAACTTCTATCCGCCAGTCTCACCACTATCCACCACATGGCCCAGACCATTGGATACCCGTTGTTGTTGGTCTCGATCGGTGGCGACGGATCGGCACTCCAAATCGGTCGCGATCGATCGCGACCGATCCCAATATCTGTCGCGACCGATTCTGAATCACATTGGTCGCGACCGATGCCTAAGTATAAAGCAAGATCGGTAGCGACCGCTCTCGTCGGCAGCGACTGGAAGATTCCTGCACCCAGTGATATCAAGACTGCTGCTGGGGCCTGTTGTTGGGCCCCATGGGGTCATCAAGAATGGACCGGGGACGAAGAACTGGCCCCTGGGTTCTGTTGCTCCCATCGTACTCAAAGACCACATCCCAGAAATCATGCCGAGCACCCGGAAAGGTGTCGAAGCAGTGTCGACACAGAGTCGGACGAGTGTCTCCCAGGGCCCGGCACGTGGAAACCCTCGCGTTTCGGTACTCTTCTGGTGCTCGAGATTATGTCTGGTGGTCTAGGCTAGGAGTAGGTTGGGAACCTCTGCCGGGACCTCTCGGGGCGCGCACTGCAAAAGCCGCGCTGTCCGATGCCCTGGGTCAGCTCGAGGCTCGGGCGCGCAGGCTCTCGAGGCCCGAGGCTCGAGGTGCCGGGGTCGAGGCTCGAAGCTCGAGGCTCGAGGATCGAGGCTCGAGGATCGAGCTTCGAGGAACTGCTCTCGAGGACGGCTGTTCTGGAAGAGAGAAAATCGCGATCAACATAAACTGTTGGCGCCCCGCCCCGATTTCTTGGAACGAATTATTTCGAGGATGGCCGGTCTAGAAGAAACAAAAAAAGCCAACAACACAAACTTTTGGCGCCCCGCGCGGATTTCTTGGATCCGCGCTGGACCCCCCTCCCTGGCGTGCAGAGCGCGCCAGGGGCGGCGCCTGAGGCACCGCCGGGGAGGCCCAGCGCGGATCCAAGAAATCCGCGCGGAGCGCAAAAAGTTTATGTATCGCGTTTTTTCTTCTTCGATGTTCCCATGATGTCCAATCGAGTGGCAAATCTGTCAGTGCGGGCGTGACCGCCCGGAGGGGCATCGCGGGTCGATGCAGCTCAAGAGATGCCGCGGAACAGTGGGGCCTGGCGGCCAGTGGCAGCACAGCAAGAGCGTCGCCTAGCGGGATCCGCGAGGGGCCTAATTACAGCGGTCCAGCTCACCATGATCATGGGCGATCTCTACCCCCACATGCGAAAAATACACACACACACACACACACACACACACACACACACACACACACACACACACACACACACATATATATATATATATGTATACATATATTCGGCGAGAACCTGGGTGATTTGAATGGGCGCGGAGCGGGGGGGGCCGGCCGACGATGACCTAACCTTTTCGCTTGGGCGACCCCACGTGTGCCCGCGCGCACCGGCACTGCGCACCGCACCCCCCCCGCCTCGGGCCTGCGCAGTCGACGAGGTCAAAGTATCCGGGGCGGGATGGGGGGTGGCAGGCAGGCCCGATGACCCGGTTTCTCGGCGGACCCTCGAGAAAACTTGCCTCAAAAACCTGGCCAGGCTCGATCCCCGCACCTCCGACGTCGCAGTCTTCGTGGCGTGGGCCCCCCTGGCACCTGGGTCCCTGCCTGGGGCCCGGCTGCTCCTCCCGAACCGCTGTGCTGGCGGTCCGCGGGCCAGGACGCTGCCCCAACCTCCGAGAACGCACTGGAGAACCGGAAGCACACACGGCGTGAATTGACAAGGGGGACATCCGGAGGCCACGTGCTGCAGGCATACCCAGACGGGGCCCTCACCGGGCCCAAAACGACTCGGGATCAAAACAACCCGTCCCGGGGAAAGGGCCGGGAACTCCAGGGACCCTCCTGCAGTGAAGAATACATGGGGGCATCGACGCCGAAGCCGTGGGTCACCGCGGGAGCTGGGTCTGCGTTGGTCGTGGGCCAGCGTTCGGCGCGGCAGTGGAAGCCAGGCCTTCACAGCCACTGCGGGCGCACAGCTCCAGTCAGCCCGGGTACGCATGCGGAAGCCCAGGCCTACACGGCCACAGAGGGGCCGAGCGCTGGAAAGACACCCGGCCGCACTAGGCGCGGCGAGCGGCGGCCCCGACCCCCGACGTGGGGCACGGCGACCCCGATGCCCCCGCAGGCCGACGGGCGCACTCATCAGCGGCCTGCGTGCTGCTCGCCCGGGGGCGGCCCAGACGGGGGCGTCCAAGAGGTGGGCTCGCACACCGCGGCACGAGGCACGCGCTGAGCGAAGAAGGGGGGGCCACGAGACGTGGGGAGACACCAAGGCCCCCGCCATGATCTCCCCCCCCCCTGGTCATCGCCCCCCTCTTGGACGCCCCCGAGCTCGGCCTTGGCCCGCTCGCGCCCCCCGAAGGCCACGGGCCAGAAGTAAAAAAAACTCCAGCGAAGGGCCACTCTGACTTGCAGCCGAGCTGGGCGAGCCTTCCTGGGGGGCTCTGTGGACCTCGGCGGCCCTATCATGAACGCGATTTCGACAAGTTGTCGTGTACAGTTCGACCCCTCTTCAGCCTCTCGCCCAGTTTCGTCCAAATCTTGCCCAGATGTCGACCAAATCCTACGACAGCGAACCAGCAAGGAACTCTGAGACCCTCTGAGTCTCCCATGAAGCACCACACATGAGAAGGGGTGGGGTGTGGGGGGCAAAAATATAAGGACCCCCCTTTGGACGCCCGAGATGGGTACGGAAAAAATGGGTACAATGCCCAACAGCAAATGTTGTCTTAAACCAACAGCGGCCGCTGTTGGGCAGGCGGCCTTCTGTCTCGAATGGACGCAGGCCGCGGCCGCACGGACAGCGAGTCCTGTTCAAAATGAACAGGAACTGCTGTTGGGCATTGTACCCATTCTTTCCATGCCCATCTCGTTCGTGCAGACCCCCCAGCGTTCCGACACAGTGGAGAGGGAACCCCCCGTACCCCGGTGCCCTCTGGACCTCTCCCGTGGGCTCGAGGTGACTGTTACTTCGCCGAGGACTCAGCCGTCGTGGCGACGAGGGCTCGCTGGACGAGAGGGGGCGCCGGTGCCCGTCGGTCGGAGGAAGCCCGCAGAACCACGAAGCAGGGAGGCGCTGCAAGTAGATTGGGTTTCGCCCGCACCCGAAGCGGAAGGACAAGGCAAAGGCACTCGATGATCGAAGCAGGCAGGCGCCCGAATCGGCGGTGGGCAAGCCTCCCTTTAGCAAACCGCCCTCTAGTGAAGACGGCCTGGGACCGAAACCGACGGATCTGCACCCGCAAAAATAGCGGCCGTGACGCCCTCTCGCGAACCGAACACGGCCAAGTCGCTAATCGACGTGTCAGGGTAGGAGGTCTATCAACCTCCGACTAAAGTAGATTGGGATCTGGGGGTCCATCGATACCTGCTTTCAACGGCCGGCGTGTACTCTCCCCTCCTCTGGGGCGAAGGCTCTCCCACTGGGACGAGTCCCCTCGGGCGGGGGGCGGGCTGCAGCGGCGGCAGCGCGGGGTGCACACGGGAGCTCAATAAACCCCCGGTGTCTGCTTGATGCAGTCGAGAACCTGGGCCAGAAGAACATCCTTCGAGAACATGGGACCCTCCGCGCTCCAAGACACACACACACAGAACAGCCAAATGTACCCTCCCCAGGATGCACCAGAACATGCAACAAACAAGAAGAGCGTTAGGGTACCCTCAACAAGCCGTCCTCGATCTTATACCTCGGCCCGAACGTACAATCCGCGCCCTGACTTAGCCCGACTCAATGATGAGGTCCTGGGGCAGCAGCAACCCCCCGCCGCCGCGGCACGCTCGACCTCCTCGGCTCGCCAGAAGCAGAAACACAGACCCGCCTGCCGCTTCTGATTCGAGCAGGAGGAAACACGGAGAGGCGCCAGGGGGGGGCATCCTGTTGGTGTGGTCCTCCCCCTCTCGCCCGAGACATCCACGACAGTTGGATGTGGGGCACAAGAACATCCGTCAAGAACATGAGACCCTCCGCCGGCCCAAACTGAAGCACATTCGAAGGCACCCTCTCCCAGGACCTCAGGATGCGCCAGAACATCCAGCAAACACGAAGAACATTAGGGCACCCTTCCCGAACCGACCTCGATCTTATACCTCGGTCCGACTGTATCCCCAGCTCGGGGAGGCATCGTGGACCCCCTCGCCGGATGTGCCCACCTGCTGGTGGCATCGTTCCTCCCTCCTCCGGCGCCCGGACGGACCCCCATCACTTGTCTTGGGGCTGCAGGGCGTTTCCCCCATGGCCGGCTTCTCGTCCCGGGCTGCTCCGTCATGGATCCAGGGCCCAGGCCCCTCAGAGGGCCGCGAGAGCCTGAGAACGGCGAAGAGACGATCGGCGGCGAACGAGGGGAGAAGCGAGATGGGGCGGGCCTCCTCGGAAGGCTCGGAAGTCCCCCGGCCTTCCGAGAAGTGTTTCAAGCCCTGCCCTGGAGACAGGAACAAAACCGCTCGGAACTGCGCGAGGGCTTAGGCCTTCCCTTCCTCACTTGCCCCCCTCGCTCGCCGCCGAACCTAAGGCCCCTTTCCCTCAAGAACCGTTTCCTTCGTGGCGAGTTGTGCCGTTTGTGAATATCGCTTATCCGATCCCCATCCCCAGCGGCGTGGCCTGGGCCACGCTGGCCGATTTAGCCCCCTGGATGGTGATGTAGGTCGCTCCCTTCGGGTTTCGAGGGCTGCATCCCAAGGTGGGGTGGTAATTTGGTGGGGAAGGGGATGGGGATGGGGATGGGGATTGGTGAAACGATACTGACCTTCTGCCCCGAGGCGACGTTTCGTGGGCTGCCGCTCCGGGCCCTGCCAGAGCGCGGCTGGGCGGCGCGCCGGCAGCGCGCCGCGAAGCCACCCCGCCCCCATCCCGAGAGCGGAGGCACCGCACCGGCTGCGCCCCGCTGCGGAGCACCGCGCGCAACAGGGAGGGCGAGAAGCCCCCCAAACGACCCCCAAGACACGCCCAAGCGGACCACAGCAGCCTTCCGAGAGGCTCTTCCAGAACCCCCCAGGACCACCGAGCATGTTCCCCAAACCACTCAACACCGAACGCCCAGTGGCAACCCTCGAATCAACACCGGCACTGTCCCGTGCCCATCTACCTAACTATGTGCCCACGCTCTTCTCGTCTCAGGGACGGCGGAACCGGCCGTAAGACCTTTGCTCAAAACGCAAGCGATGACATCGCACACCGCAAATATGCAGACGCACTCACGCGCAAGACAAAGAAGGGGGGGCGGGAAAACGAATCTGAAGGGGCCCTGGGACACACAAATAAATACACACGAATAAAACAATTCCCCATAATTTCAGATATGTTCCTGGGAATCGGCGATTAATTGTGTCTGTGTGTTTTTGTTCAGTATGTCACACCCGTGGGCACGCGGCAGAATGTCGGAGACCGTGGGCACACCGTTGTCAGCATGACCTGCAAGTGAACATCCGAAGATCGAGTTCCTGGCAGAGGCGCAGGATACAGTCGGGTGCTTGACCTAAGGAGCCCAACATAAGGAAAGAGGCCTCTTTTTTCCATGAGTTAAACTTCGATTTACGATCCAAAACATAAGGAAAACCTGAGGCAAGCTGCGAAACACTTAAGGAACGCGGAGCCCCTCCCCAACGAAAAGGGTTCCTTCTTCAGGGCCCCGACTGTAGGGAGGAAGTGTACAATTCCCGGCACGCAAGTCGAACAAGCGCGACCACGCCACACGGGCTCGAAACGTATTCAGAACTGCAGGCGCCTCAGTGTGGCAGGTCACTGGAAACAATGGGCGAGCAACAAGGTGTTCAATCTGAGACTGGACCATCTGCCTTGCGTTTCTCCCAGGAGAGGGGGGTCTTGACCAAAGTCGGAGCTCCAAACTGCGCTGCGCAGCCGCTCGTGGGGTAGCAGTGGGGCGGGCAAGCAAGGCCGAAAGCATGTTACCGTCGGCGTGGGACATTTGGCAGACCCCACCCTCCACAAGAAGAGCGCACGAGGGGCTCGGCATCACTACAATCTGACGAGGGGCTTGGACCTCGGGGCCGCGCCATCTTCGTCGAGGGCTCCCAGGGGCTGATGGCAATGAAGACAGGACGCACTGGGTGCAGGCAGGATGCCCCGGCAAGGAGGTGGAGGCTCCCGAACGAGCACCCGAAGGACGATGGGGGAGGAGCCGGCTGCAGCTGCTGTGGGCTTCGGGTCCTCCAGACAACGCAGCCTGGCCCGCCTACCCGGCCGGGTGTGGGGCGGGCGGTCCTGACAATGGCTCGCTTGCCGCCGGTGCATGAAGGGGGTGGGGCCCCCCGAGGATAGGGACGGAAAGGAGAGGGGGACGGGAGGCCGGAGGGAGGAGCGTCCTGAGCGGGGGTCCCCAAGAGGCGGGGGACAACGGCCCCTGTGTCCGCAGGGAGCCGGCTCCCCCCCCCGCTTCTGCAGGGGAAGCGCTGACCGTTAGCATGACACAAGTCTCGTCCGAAGAACCCTCATCCATGTTCTCGAAAAAGTCTTGAGGCTAGAGCGGGGCTCGCCAGCCACCCCGCGTCTGTGCCGTGCCGCAGGCCAAGGAGTGTGGCCCCTCTTCCGCCTGGGCCGCCGTGATCCCCGTGGGCTCCTCGGGGGTTCGGGGGGGCCGCGAGGGCCTCGAGGCTTCCTCCCAGTCGACAGAATGTTGGGAAGATCTGGAAAACAAAAAAAACCTCCTCCATTTTCGACGGCCTCCGCCCGAGAGACAGCGCCGCGTGGCGCAGCGCAGCGTAGCCCAAGAGAAAGCGTACTTCAGCGCAGGGCAACGCCAAGCAATTGCGCACAGAGCCCAAGAAACTCATAGCAAAGCAACGCGCACAAATGCATTGCCGCAGAAGATACGCCACGCCTCCTTTGCGTTTCACTTGTCTCGAGCGTCTACAGTATGATGTGTATATATATACACATATCAATGTATGCATTTACGGCCGACTCTGGAAACCCTGAACCCAAAAAATATGTTCATCTCTTGGGGGCGCACATGTTACTTTCGCCGGCTTCTGCTGGCCTTCGGCCTGCTTCCGCCGGCGGAGCCGCCCTCGTTCTACTTCTGCCGACTTCCGCCGCCTTTCCGCCGCCGTCCGCTTTGCAGAGATGGCAACTCCTTCGATCCTCGAAGGCAAGGCCAGTTTTGGAACGCCATCCCCCCTATATATATATACACATACATACATACATACGTATACCGAAATATAGATACATAGGTGCGTAAGTATACAGAACACAGATCTATACATATGTAGATATTGACGGACATGTACATATGAATGCACATACAGATTATGCCCGCAGATAGTCTAGATCCACAACGGAATCTCATTCGAGGATCGCACTAGGCTCACATAAGAGAGCCCAGCCGTAGGCATGGGGAGGAGCAGCCGCGGGCAGCAGCGAGAATAGCCACGGCGACGACAGCGGCGGTGCTCGCGCAGGTGGGGCGCACGCCAGGGCAAGACTGATCTGATGACGAATGACTCGGCGAGAACCATTGCGATGTGTCTCTTCTCCCAGGGTCGAGAAAGGAAACGTGCTTCTGGGCAACTGCCCGCATCCCGGCTATAGTGGGGCAGCTGCACCAGCTGCTCCAATGTGAGGGCGAACTGACCTAGGCAGAGACAAGATGTTGCAGCAAACACGACGGCGGGCTGCGCTCACGTCTCCAAGACTGATCTGAGATAGGGAACTTCATTCTTCATTTTGTTGAGGGCGTTCATTACTCGCGAGTGCTCTGGTGCCACCCCGGCACTGCCGGACTGCAGCCAAAACATCTTCCACCGTTGCCACGACTTGTGCAGAATCAAGGCTGGCAACAATGTATCCTTTAGCTCTGGCACTTCGTGTCTTAATTCAGCTATGGCGTAAATGACCCGGGCAACCTTCCTGCCGTCCACGTCGTCCACCCCGTTGCGCGCGTGCACGCTCAAGGCCGACACCAGTGGAATGAATTGGGGCACCAACTCCTTCAGCTCCGCGATGTTGAAGATCGTCTCGAATATAAGGTCCGCGCTGGCGCCCTCCGGAGGCGATGCCTGAGAAGCCGGGGTGCCGCCCTGACCCCCAAAGGCCCTAAAAGAAGTTCTGGGAGCCCCGTGGACGGCCAAACAAAAAAAAGTGGAATACTGAAGTCGTCGCGAGCACATCCAAAAAGCAGCTCGATCCTCGATCCTCGAGGGTCGCGGCAGCACTGCCTGCAGCAGCGAGGCGCCGCGGCTCGCGAACTCTTCGAGAAGCTTGACGTGCGTGCTCCTCAGCTCCTCCTTCTGGCCTCTATCCTGGAGCCTGCCCCCGAGAGTTCCTTTCAGCAGCCGCATCTTGCGCACGATGGCGATAACGTGCTGCGAGCCTCCCCACACGCATTCGATGGCAACTCCTGGGAGCCTCCCGTACCATCTTGTCGGCTCTTGCGAATCGACGCTGGTCGACGCTAAGTCGACGCGAATCGACGCTAAATCGACGCGAGTACATGCTAACCGACGCTCAACCGGCGCTATCTCAGCAACCCCCAGACGCCAATCGACGCGAGTCGACGCCAAAGACGGGCTTCGAAGAGTTCTACAAGCTCCCATGATTTGCTACCGAACGAACCCCTCCCTCCCAGACCCCCCGCTCATCCACTGGGCAGCGAGCAGCATCCAGTGGGACGAGGGGGGCCGCCCCCCAAGAAGGCAAGGGGGGCTCTGAAGGGCGGCTTCTGAGACGCGCACTGGCCAATTGACGATGACGCCAGCCTTGCCTGGGTGCGATTCCTCTCCTCTTCGTCGATCCCATCAGTAGATCCTCCTCATCCTCCTCCTTCTCGTCCTCCTCCTCTTAGTCGACCCTCCTCGTCCTCCACCTCTTACTCGATCCTCCTCCTTCTCCTCGATCACCCGTTGTCTGCGCGCCGCCGCCTCCTCTCCAAGCTCCGCACCTCTCCGCTCCACCCCGGTGCGATCCCCTTCTCGGATCTGCACTCGTTGGGTTGGGGACTGCCTGTGGCCCTGGGGAGCCTCCGGAAGCCTATGGTCCGAGGAATGCCAGGGCCTCTGGCGTCCTGGAGGGACGCCCGGGGCCCTGGGGGCCGCACGCTGCAGCACGACTGCGACATCGGAGGCCTGGCCAGCCCGCTGCACGGACCCACCCATGCTCGCCTCTGTCTGCCCCTCCCCCTCCCCCCTCGACCCCCCGCCAAACACGGGAGAGTTCATCGCCATCGGGATGAACTTCAGCATCAGATGCATCTGGCGCATCCTGTACAGCTGCACGACGAGCTCAGTACTGTTGGATCTGTCGGGTTCCGGCAGGTACTCGTACTTGAAGAGCTCGACCCAAGTCTTGTTCGGCTCGTGCCATCTCCACCTCCTTCCGCGACGTTTCCTGTAAATGGGCTCCCCTTTCTTCATCTTGACATCCTCGACGGACAGGAAGCTTGGCCGATTCATCGACCATACCGACAGGGTGGTGATGGCGCTGGGCCGCACCGGCGCCAACCTGCTCAGAAAGGGGCATTTCGGCACGGGGTTTTCTGACGCGACCGACATTTGAAACAACTACTCCCTGTAAGCCTACACACACTCTTTGACCCCGCATGCGATGTCGCCTCCCGAGGATGAACGAAGGGAAGCTCGGATACGCGTCGTTCTGCCAAGTGAAGAGCAGCGGCACCATGCGAGCGAGGCTCCCCCCAATGCAGCCAGGCAGGATGCAACACCCACGCGGGAGGAGAAGAAAGCAGGGAGGGGGCGATACGCACCTGGAACCAGGCCCGAGATCGCAGACGGACATCTGCGGAAGAAGAGGGCGGGGCGAGCCGTCGACGACAGTTGTCCTACGCGGCCTGTGGGGGAGACGCGTGCGAACACCGCCCCTGGGGCCCTTTGCACTGCAGTGGGGGAGTCGCGTGCGAACACCGCCGCTGGGGCCTCCGCTGGAGCTCCCTCTGTGGGGGGGGGGGGGGGCAGGCCCCGCCGGGGCGCCGCTCCCTCTCGCCTACAGGCGTGAGGGTGCCCACGCCGGCGTGGGCGGCGCTGGTGCAGGGAGGCCTTGCGGCGCGGGGCCCCCTCGGGCTCCGTGCGCGGAAAGGCGCCCGCAAGCTCTCCGAAAGGGGGGCCTGCGGCGAGTCACGGGGGGCCTCCCATTCCAGCTTGCGGGCCTCCCATTCCAGCTTGCGGCGAATCGACGCTGGTCGACGCCAAGTCGACGCCAGTCGACGCTAATCGCTAATCGACGCTAGACTGGCGCTGTCTCATCGAGTACCAGACGCTGATCGACGCTAGCGCATCCTGAACAGAATTACGAAGGTACAGAAGGCCCAAGGATTTGCTACCGCAAAACGGGGTGGGGGGGGAGGTGCGACCGTTGCCTCTTGACGACGACAACTACCAAGAAAGGGGGTCAACATATGGCCCTGATCATCTGAAAGACGTCCGTTCCCCAGCTCCGCGGGGTCAACACAGGCGGCGTCAACTCGCTCCGCCCCCCCCCCCCCCCACCCACCCACCCACCCACACACACACACACACACACCTGGTGTTGTTTGGGGCCGCTCATCCTGACCTGCCGCCTCCTCCTCGACTTTTTCTTGTTTTTATTGCCATCATTTCTCTTCCTCCTCCTCCTCCTCCTGCTCCTCCTCCTCCTCCTCTGTGCAGTGCTCGACACCAACCACGATTTGAGTGGCGATGCTACGACAGGCTCTTACAGGAGGTTGGCTATCACTTCGGCAAGGGAAGACGATGGCCGGCGCAAGGACGGACGCTCACGCGACATCTTGAGCCTGGAGCGCCTCGTTCTCGAGTATTTCGAGCAGGTCCCACTGCCAACGCTACCTGGGGCTCATCCATCGTGGGATTCCCCGACGGTCGCATGCGACAGTTGCGGATTCGAGCTGTCAGGTTCCGAGGCAGGTTCTCCGAAAGGGCTTCGCTCGGGCTGGCCAGCCTCTCGCAAGTGGCACCGCAAACCAGTAGCCATCACGACCAAGTAGGCCGTCATGGCGAACGTGGACTTGATCTGGGCTGGCCTCATCAGCGAAGGAGTGGCGCGCGAGTGTCTGGTCAAGGGCCTCCACACGGCGTAGGCCCCGTAACCTTCGCGACTGCTCAAGGCGGGGTGGTCAGCCGTCATCTACGGTTAGGTCGGGCATGTCCTCCAACAGGCGGGCTTGAGAAGACAATTTAAATGTAGCCAAACATCACTCAAACATAATCCAAACAATAATAGAAAAACGTGTCCATATCAAATCTGACTATTTTTGAATAGTCTTCCTGTAGACGGGCATGCCCGACGTAAATCTGCGACTCCAGCAGGCGCTTCGTGGCGGCAGATCGGGGACCAGTGCCGCTCGACCAAGCACCAGAGCAGCTTCCCCGTGACGACGACGACAACGTGGTGAAGATGCGAACCGACCTTGGATCTCCTCGTCTTGCCTCCTTCTCATCCTCCTGCTTCCTCCATCTCCTCCTCCTCGTCCTCCTCCTCTGCCCCCTTCTCCTCCCCTTCCCTTCCCTTCCTCCTCCTCCTCCTTAGCCTAGGAGGAAGATGAGGAGCAGGAGGGAGAGGAGGATGCCTGGCTCCACATCGACTGCCGGGCCACCACACGTTGCGCCATGGCCACGCACGGGGCGGCCAGGCCCAAGGCCCAGAGGGCGCATCTCTGGACAGGCACCGCCGACAAGCTGGAAGGGGTGCAGATCATCGTGGTCACGGCGCACCTCGGGCAGAAGGCGGCCGCGGACGGCCTCATCACCCAGATGCAGCTGGACGGCAACCGCAAGGCCGGCGAGCAAGCCAAGGCAGGCGCGTCGCTGGCCAGGGTACAGGTCACAGACATCCAGGCGCTGGACGGCTGCTACTACATCGCCGAACTTGCAGCGCATTTTGCTGAAGTGCAGGAGACGGTTCTGAGCGACACCAAGGTCCGCGAAAGCAGGGGCGTGGAAGCGCAAATGCACTCTACCTCGGCGAACTCCCGCCCGACTTTGACGACCAC